AAAGAAGCATAAGCTGAAATTAGATGAAGGAAATTAATTAGGCTGAAGAGATTAGCACGAAAAATTTGAATTTTTCTGAAAACAGCTAAAATTAGTTAAAAAGAAAAGTTGGCACAAGTTAAATTCAATTTTTTTTTTTTTTTTTTTTAAAAGCAGAAAGAACATGTTTGCACAATTAGGCTGAAAGAAGCTAAATGAGCTAAAAAAAAGTGGAAATTATCTGAAAAGGTTTAACAAAAACAACAACAACAAAGCTAAAAGGCAGAAAGAAGCTTAAATTACTAGAAGGAAGTGGAGAGAGCATGTTTTTGCTGAATTAGGCTGAAAAAAGTTGAAGCGCAAAAAATGTAGAAGCTGAAAAAGCTTAAATTAGCATAAAACCAGCTATAGCTAAAACAGTAGAAAAAGCTGAAAGGAGCATAACCAGCTGAGATTAGCAGAAAGAAGCTGAAAGCTCCGCAAACAGCTGAAAACAGCTGAAATTAGCTGAAAGAAGTTTAAATTTGCAGCAGGAAGCTGAACAAAAAGTGAAAGGCGCAGTAAACAGATGTGAACAGATGTGAACAGATGTGAACAGATGTAAACAGATGTAAACAGATGTAAACAGATGTGAAGGAGGTAAAATGAGCTCCGTTCAGTTTCTGAGAGAACAAAATGTCAGAAAAGGCTAAAATATTTCAAACAGCTAAAGTTGCACCACAGGTCAGAGCAGGATTGTCCTGAAAGAGCTGAACGTTTTGAGTCATGAATAGTTGAAACGGATTCAAAACGTGATTCACATCGACTGATCTGTCGGTTCCGATTGGACCTGGTCACGCAGCTGAGTCCGGCCTCGGTTCCGGTTTCACAACTTTTTCAATCCGAACTCAAAACTTCACATTAAAAGAGTTTCGGTTTAACTCGAAACTTTTATTTTATTTTATTAGTGGAGTTTGAAACTTTCCGTCATTTCTCCTGATTTGGAGTTCGTTCGAACCTCTTTCAGGTGATTGGGTCATCAGAACCAGCCGTGTTGGACTGGAACCACTAACGGGTTCTGCGTCTTTAATAGAGCCCCTGACAAGGTTCGGTTTGTCCCATAAAGTAAAACAAAAGGAGCTGGACCTCCTGGACCCGGTCCGTACCTTGGTTCCGATCTGGTTCCCGCACTGCCCCACCTGGATGTGAAGGATCTCCCTCATGGTTCTGGTTCTGGTTCGTCCTCTTGACCCTGCACAGCACAAAGCC